CTGTCTTATTATTATTTATTTTCAAATTTTTTCAGGCCAGGGCATTTATGTTCAATATCTTTTTTAAATACAATAAAAGGCGTCTAGGGGTGCGACAGTGTTGATCCTGAAAAAAATCAATACATCGTTTTTTATCAGTTTCACATGATTTCTCTTCTACTCCACGCCAGAAAAGAATTTAATCCTATTTGACTGATAACATATCATTAATTAAAAAAAAAAAAAAAACACCAACAACAAACAAATATATTAGTTATCTCTTTGAGCTCAATTTTATCAAGAAGTGACGCTTTCTTGCAGTTTGTTTTCAGAACTAGTTCTCTCACTTAAGATCTGCCATAAGCATAATGACAATTTATCTTCAACAGAAGTTCCTTTGCAGGGCATATATTTTTACACCACTTTTACATTTATATTCAGGGTCAGCTTAATCAATCATCATAAATTACGGTAATTATTTTTTTCTGTGCCCAGAAATGCTTCCTATTATGTAAACCATAAGCATATAGCAGCTGCAACTATTTACTAACATTTACTAAAAGGTACCAAATCCATTTTGTTTTCGCATAAAACTTGTGCTGCCAACACAACTCAATTGGGTATATTTTATTAAACACCAAAGATGTGTCTGCACCTAAAAAAAATCAAATGGTTTTACTATTTACCATGGGCCAAATTATTGGCCCCTTGACATTTTTGAAAAATCATAAAGGCCAAAATATTGGCACATTATTTGTTAAATCCGTATGGAGGTATACTTATTGACAATCTTGTCTAGGTACAGGAGAAAGACATGATTATTTTGTCATCTGGAATTAAATTGTGAACTAGCTTCCAGTACAAATGTAAATGTCTGTACTCTTTGGTTTGTGATTCTTGACTCTATTTCCAGTAAGTGACCCTTTATGTAAACATAAATATTTTGAATAGTTGAAACGGAAAACCGTATTTCGATTAAAATAATAGTATGAACAATACCGAAAAAAGGCAATTAATGTGATTGTGTAATAAACTACTATATTTATGTTGGCAGTGTAAATATTTGGATCACTTGTTGTCATATACTTAGTAACATATTGTATTGGGGGCATTTGTAAGTTTGAAAAGAGCTATTGATAACAATTATATGTTTCATAACGAGTAAATGAATTGACTATTGCTTGATATCAACTAGCTATATAGAGTTATTTGATTTCGATTAAATAATAAACGAGCCTTAGGCGAGTTTATCATTACTATTTAAATTAGGTAATGAGAGTTGATGTCAAGCGATATTTCCCTTATGGTAAACATTTGTTTGTGTTAAATAGAAGATTCCACTACTTATTGATCTAGTCTTTTGCAGATACCAGTATGATGTCATATGTCATGATCCGGCGTCAAAATTTAACAACAGATATTTTTAAATTGTGTGCACGCTTTAGAATGTAATAAAATTTGACAGAAATAAGATTTTCAGGTGTAAAGTGTAAGTTTTCTTTTTATTATTGAAGAAATCACATATGTTGTTTGCCTTTGATGAAATGTAAATCGTTTTGACCCTTGAAAGTCCTAAAAGACCTTGATAATGGCCAATGAAAATGTTACAATACTTTTTTACGATGCCAGATGAGCCAATCAAATTAACGCGTTTTTAATATCACGTTTTTGTATCACACTATGTGCAGTAATAAATGTTATATAGTCTTGTATACAAAAAGATTATAGGTTCTCCAAAGTGGGTCTTCTTGGATTATAGATGAGAATTTCGATGGGCAATAGTAAACGAAGTAATTTGGAAAGGGCAGAAATTCTGTATCGCTACATACCCCAGACGAACCACTTATATAGTTTTGTTAAGGGTTCTCTCAATTCCAGAGGGCATGACCTTCTCCCACACTAGGCATTGAATTTATTGTCTCCACAGCGACTGCACGTGGCTGCATATTCATACTTCCTGCATTATTGAAACAAATAGTGCATGCATATTCGGGACGTCTGCAAAGTGGGACAACTGGGATGATAGGTGGGAATTTCTACCTTCATTGGAAAATGAGTACATCTTTAAGTGGAGAGACTGTTGGCGTATCTACAGGCCAACTACGGCCTCCAAGTTTTTAAACGTACAACAAATTGTTACTTTCTCTACAAGAGGTATCGGATATAACTTCGAATTTAAACAAACGAAACTCGCATTCGTCACAACTCAGTCGATTTCGTGATAGATGGAGAGAAGCGGAGTCACCCGAGGTTAGCCGATCGACGAAATTCCCTTATGAAAATCTCCCTGTAAGCCATTTTATTAGATATCACAAGGCTTAGGTCACACATACCAAATGTTTAAATGAAAGTACAAAATTTAGCCGATTAGCGAAAATGCGGATGAGGATAAAAAAGGGGATGAATTGATACCATAAATAGACGAATATATCTGATAATCAAATGTAATATTTCAAGTAGTGTAATAATATACGTCTGCAACAAGAAGCAGAAGTTTATGAATGGCTATTTCCTTGATTAAACTATGAGCCAAGCATCGTAATCCCAAAATATTAAGGTTTTTTTTATTTACATATACCACCAACTTTCAGACTCTTTAAGTTTTGAGCCTTCTTGTTTTACGCTTTTAAACATTATTTAATTTTTTATAGTCATGTTTTTGTGCGCTTGTAAAACACCAAATACACGAAAGAAAAAAAGTACGAAATATTGATATCAACAATTTAAAAATTCCTATAAATTTAGATAAAAAAAAAAAAAATTCTCTTGATTTAAATATTGAAAGCTTTTATTATCAAAGTATGATAATAATGTCAGTGCACAAACATTAAATTTTTGTTCCGGTTTTATTTGTTCTCGAGACCAGATATACAAGAGACAAAGTAAAATAAAAAAGACAGAAAAGGAACATCGATACAAAATAAGGTCTATTTTAGCTTTAATACAATAATATAATCATTTAACTCTGAATGTAACTTGACATACGTATTTATACATTCCTAGATTTAAATTGTTTGAACGTTCCTGATAAAAGTAAATCCCGAAAAAGCGTTTCGGACGCATGAAATGTATGAAGTGCTATTTTCTTTTAACAAATGCATATAAGCATGCGGAAATGGATCAGGGACCAGTTGTTCAAAAGTGTCGTTAGCCTTAACGATGATTAAGGCTAACGAGTCGTTAAATCTTAACTAAGTTGCTAGCTAACATTTGCGTTCAAATGTGTTGTTCAAAAACTTTTAACGACAATGTTTAATAACACTGCGTTAAGAGTCATTAAATTATTGTATGTTTAATTGTCATCCTTAATGCACAGAAAATCTTCACTTCCTGTTACCAAGATGGCTGAATTGTCTGCAAAGAAATTGCCAAGGGACAAAAAAGCCAATTTCACCTCCATTTAGGCAAACTTGATCAGTTCACGAGTGACATACGAGTTGGAGTTGTTAAAAGGGGGATTTTCAACAGAAGTGACAAACCAGAAGAAAAATGAGGTCTTGAAAAACATAACAGAGGAGGTCAATGCTTTGGGTGTCCGCTTCAGAACCGAAGCAGAAGTTAGAAATAAATATCGGAATATGTGTCGTGGTGCAAAGGAAAAATTTACTAACTCCAGAAAGGAAATGAGCAAGACTGGAGGTGTACCACCACCTACACAACTGAGCATTGCAGAGGAAAACATTGTAAATGCAATGAGGGATAGTGCCTCATTCAGTTGAGTTGATGGCATTGAGACAGATATAAATTGTAACGGTATGTATTTTTTAAATTTAATTTAATTTTTACTTAAATTGCATTCTTTATTTTGACTTATAAACTTTGTTTTTTAACCTGTAAATGCAGAAATAAGTTTACGCTAACGATCGTCTGCTTTGACAGAAGGGTTTCCCATGGTATGGGATTTCCTCGCTTTAAATATCTTTGACCTTGACATGTTTTAAAAATATATGTCTATCTACTTAAATTATCATACGTATGCGTTATTAGTGGTCACTTGTGTATAAAGGATTGAATCATCCACTTACGCTTTATACATTCGGATATCCTTAAAACTGTATTTAACCATTATTAATCTTTATTTTGACTGCAAAAACTACTTTCCTCATTGTGTTGTTTTATTGTTTTGCTTTTGCCGCTTTTTTGTCCCTTGTAACATTAAAAAAAAAATTTGATACGGAGATATGACTTTAAAAGAATCAAAAACTAGTTTAAAGTGATGAAACTGTTCTAATCAATATAAACAACCACTTATTAAGTTTAAAATATTTGATTTGATGTACAGATAAGAACTTATTAGTTGCTTACACCATAGATGAAAGGCTATATAGCCTGTTACTTATATCTTGTAAATGAATAATCTACAGTTATTCCTCTTTGTACTTCTACTTTCAAAATTAAAAAAAAAAACAAATCCAGTACTACTTTAAAAAGGGGTCTTTACAAAGTGACCTCATAAAACTGAAAAAACTAAAGAAAATGAAAACAAATAAAACAAACAGACAGGAACAAGCAAAAAAGTAGTATTTCTCTTTTTAGATAACCACAAAGTCACCATTCACATGTTTATGCCTTATGCACCAAAAAAGTTGAAAAATGAAGCAAAAGTGGAACAAAGTTCTTTTAAACCATTTGCTCTTAACCATTTTATAGGTCATTTGTTAAAAAATAAAAAAGGTTCAATATAATATACTTTCAAATTTTTTTTCTTCAGATATCATAATATTTACTATCATGTCACATATGAAACATTCAGGTTATTGTCAGTATGTTAGATCTGTTTTAACTGAAATTCTTTACAAGAATTTCTATTTCTATTTCTTTACTTAATATTTTAGAAGCAAATCCTGCCACAAATGGAGGCCAGTTTCCATGCACAGCTACCCCCAGGCCTACAGCAGAAGAATCTGTCTTGATAAGAGCTTTAGACAGATATCACTCAAACTTCCAGAACAATCAGCAGACCTGCCAAGTAGCTGATGATGCTGAAGGGACTGATAGAAATACCACATGTCCAGGTCCAAGTAGTTCAACATCTTCCCAGTCTAAAAGATCTTCAAGTTCATGCAGGTAATGTTACTACACCTTTACAACAAGAAATTCCTCATTTCATGACATTAGCCATTATATACACTTTCAACAATTATAAGTCTTAATTTGTGTTCGGTGCATAATTTAGAGAGAAATTATTTCATAAATTTTATCTGCGTTTAAGCATTGTAAGGCTCTTAACAGAAAATTAGAAAATCATAAGCATCCCCTAAAAACAATTGCAAACACATATCTAAACATAGCCTTTAAAAAATGATCTCTCCAAAAATGCAAGAAATAACAATAAGGAGATGTGGTATGATTTTCAATGAGACAACTATCCAGCAAAGTTAAAATAAAGTGGATATAAGCTATTAGGCAACCGTGCATCCGTCGACAATAAGAAAAAACCGTATAAAAGACCTTGCAATGGATTAACAAAAGAATTTACGAAAAAACAAATGAAATGTAAATTAAAAACCACTGACCTACAGGCTACTGACTTGGGACAGAACGTGTGTGCACTAAACCTTCCGGTTACCTGGGACATGCAGGGATGTTACAGCAAAACATAAGAAGAAACTATAAAAATCAGTTGAAAAGAGCTCCACTCAGCAGATTGATACAAAGCAGAGAAAAACAACTAAGGGAGCTACCAATTGATTTTTAGGGGGGGCTAGGATGGAAAATTTTGTCCTGCCTTTTTTGATGTTGTAATTTCTGTCCTGCCTTTTAGTTTTTCAATCTATTTGGTCCTGTCTTCTATTTTTTTTTTTAGATTATCCTGACTTTTTTTACATAAATTGACATCCTGCCTGTTTTCTTACAAAGTGTCTCATCCTTCCCTTTTCTTTTACTCAAAACTCCTGTCCTGCCTTTTTTAAATTTCATCCTAGCCATCCCCCCAAAAAATACTCAAATAGAAGCTTCATAACACTGATGCACACCTCTGGATACTAACATTTTTAAAAGAACAGACAAAAAAGGAAATAATTGTTCAATAAGAATACCACTGATGAGATGAAAAAAGGACTGTTGAAAATTGTCAAAACTTGAATGTGCAAATAGACTCTTATATTGGTTATTACAGTAATTATTTTCAATATTGTGCTCTCGTTCTCACAGCATACAGCCAACACCCAAGACGAAGAAAACAGCTGAAGATGTTTATGCATTACAATGTGCAGTTCTTGAAAAATAACTAGAGAAGTACATACTTCAAGTAGATCTCTTAAAAAAATTGCTTGGCAAATATGACAATTTAGATTCTGATGCCCTGGAACTACTGTCAGTTTTGGGGCAGTGATTGTTAAAACATTAGAAAACTTTTCAAGTTGTTTAATATTTAAATGTTTTGAATCTATTTACTTTAATGTTTGACTTTTTTAATTGCTTTTTCCAAAATACCATTTTTATTACAAAATCCATTTATTAAAATGCTGCATATATTATATTGATTTATTTTTTCTATTACATGTACCACATATTGTATTTAATTCTTTTTAATTGAAATTGATGATTATCTTATAAATGAAGACAGCTAGCAATTTGGATTTTGCGTCTTTTGTTTTATCATTTCTGTAGTCCTAACAATGAAAAGGTATTAACATTTTGATGTCAAATGTGATAATTTCAGGCTGATGTTCAGAGATAATAATTCCAATGTTGAGTCTTATTTCATTGGTCACCAATGATGTTTCTGTGTATGACTATAAGGTATAAATTTTTCTCATTGTTGAAGGCTGAACAGTGTCATGTAATTGCTCATATCTACGTCATTTGAACTCTAGAAGATTTTGTCTCATTGGCAAGCATACCAAATCTTCTATTTTCATTGTTGGTGCAAGATTTTGGCAATTGTCAAATCTGATTTTACTTGAACATTCAAAGCTTAACAATTCTATGAAATCGTAAATAATCCTGGTCCTTCAGTTTTTTTGATAACATAAAAATAAAGAAAGTGAAACAGATGTTTTAACTTTAATGACGGTTAAAATAAGTTCCAGCCATGTGTTCCCTAATCCCTCTTCCATCCTGTGTCCATTGTAGTTGATTCCATTTTCTATATCCTTTTTAACAGGCTCTTCTGCTGCTACAGCTGGTTCAATTAGTTGTATGCAGATGTTGTGAAGAATCCTACAAATCAGAACTATTTTAGTTACCTTTTTAGGATCCATACGAATATGCAAAAGATAAATGGTATTTTTCTGAAAAAAATATTATGATTTCCAATTTTAAAGGGGAAAAAAAATTTCCAATCAATGAGAAACAGTATAAAAACATCTAAATAATCACTCACTTCAGAATGCAATATGTGGAACTTTCTCTTCCATCTACCAAATGTCCTTTCTATAACAGATCTTGTGACCGCATGATATCTGTTGTTCAATGGGATTCAGAAAAGGTGTCATTAAAAAAGACCTGCAGGGATAGCCACTATCACCAAGATATATACCATTTTCCCAATTGCCATTTCTCTCCATATGAGCACACACCTGCATGAGGAATTATATTTATGGTAAAGAATATACATGCATATACAATTGGTATTGTTAAAAGATATTTCATTGGCAATCATACCACATCTAACAGAAATTAAAGGGTTTGGGTTCATTCTTTTTGGTACAATTATTATATGTCTCTCTTATCTGATGGCATTTGTAGATCGACTCGAACAATCAGTATATGTTTGGCAACTGCAACTGATTTTTCTAGTTTTTTTATTTGGACTCCGAACCGAGATGGTACTCCGAACCACGATGATCACGCTGAAGTACGATTGTTGGACGCTGAAGTGCGTTTTGTGATTACACTGAAGTGCGATGATGGCAATGTGACGCTATCGTGTTGATAGCTACGCCGAAGTGCAATGGTGGTAACTCTGAAGTGCGATGGACTAAATAAACTATATTTTCAATGCTTTTCATGTTTACTGCGTAGAAGGCAAATTGTTTGCTTTAAGGACGACGGTACATTGTGTTACTGTAGAAGCCGTTTGTCGGGTTTTTAAGTTCATAGGGGACTTATAAACTACGTGAAACGGAGAGTGATTGGTAGAGATGGGAAAGTAACCTTCTGTAGCGATTTTTTTTTCGAAATCTACAAAAAGTTCTAGTTTACGTACGATGGAGCGTGGCATTATTATCTAAATACATACGGGTCCGTGAAAAAACTCTCCGTATTATAATATTACTGTAAACAAGGAACTCATGAAAGGAACATGGTAAAAATAAAATTTTAAAGCCGAATTATGTTCACATGCAGAAAATCAAAGAGGACGATCTCTCATTTAGTATGCAACTGTATCTAAGGACATAAAGAGACAATAATGAATATTTAATATACTAACTATAAAACAATTAAATAATTGCACATCTGTAAATTTTAAACAAGCCATCACGCGTCATATACACCATCGCACATCAGCGAACGGACAATCGGACTTTTATATTATCGCACTTCAGCGTGACCATTGCAATTTAGCTTCCCCATCGCACTTAAGCTTTCCCATCGCACCTCCGAGTCCTACATATATAATGAAAAAAAGGATATGTTGATGAATTTGTGAAACACATTTGCGCGTACATGAAGAACCAAATGCAAAGGAACTTCACTGTATTGCTGTTCCTTTTTGTAGTCACTATGAGGCTTTCCAAAAGGACGATAAACTCTCATCTTACGACATGTAAAATAAACCTTTGAAAGAGGATCTTCTAAAATTCTAAAATGATACCAGCAATTTGGTCTGATGAAGCGTTACTTCATTCATAATATAAATATAAACACAATTAATTTAGTTTTGTCATCATCATCATCATCATCATCATCATCATCATCATCATCATCATCATCATCATCATCATCATCATCATCATCATCATCATCATCATCATCATCATCATCATCATCATCATCATCATCATCATCATCATCATCGTCGTCGTCGCTGCTGCTGCTGCTGCTGCTCCTCCTGCTCCTCCTCCTCCTCCTCCTCCTCCTCCTCCTCATCATCATCATCATCATCATCACCATCATTATTATCATTATCATCATTATCAATTCTCAATTATAAAATAATGTTTGTCGATTTGTTCACAATGTAAGCATTTTAATTTCAAGTAATCTTATTGTCGATCTACTTCTTAAGCCGGATAGGTTGTCAAATATATTTAAAAAAAATAATAAAAATACAAAGATACTCTATTTTAAGCTATAATAATTCAAATTTTTTATTAACTTATAATTATATTGTTATTACAATTAACACATCTACAAACTAAACTTTACTTTAAATTAAATAAACCGGAGTCAAAATTATATATACCAACTTAACCTGCGTATGGTGTATACATTTTTCAACTCATATGATATTCAAGAACTTGCAGCTGCTACTCAGACTTCATAAAACTTTATCGGTGTCTAAGCGAAAAAACAAATGAGCCAGGGTTTTGTCAAATAATGTATAATCCTTTTTCTCAAAAAGTTCCTTGAAAAGTACCAAGACCGCATACATAAATATGCAGTGTCTTCTTCACAAATGATACAAGATGTTAGTATGTTTCTTTTGGTCGTATGACCTTTGACGTGACTCAGTATTTATGCATCCCGATATCGGCATTTGACTTTTTAGCTTTGGTGCATTCCTGGTGCAGGTGGGTACAGAGGTGCAATTCGGACACAAAGAGTTTTTTCAGTGCTGTTTTTATTTTGTTAACCATTGTGTTGATATTTTTTTTATTTTAACTGTATCGAGTGTATACTATAATCTTTATGTACTATACACGACAAAAACATTTTTATGTTGACGTCATTGTCGAACCTCGGACGCATGAAATTTATAACGTGTTTTGTTCATTTTTTGCACTCTATTTCACCATTGTTGTTGACATCTTTGTTAGATTGATTTTTATGTTTGTTTGCATTTTATAGTCAGTTGTGTTGTGTGTCTAAGTTGTAAGTCTACAGGGTTTATGCTACTGGATCCAATTATTGTCACATTAACCCACTATTTGGGTTGCTCACCCAATTTTGTCAATATAAACGGTACTATAAACAACTGTAAAACAAGTGGGGAATTTGGCTAGCTAAAAAACCAGGTTAAGCCCACAATGTGATTTTGTCAGTTTTATTGGAATTTTTTAATTTGCTTTGTTACTTTTTTGAAAAGTATATTTTAGGTTCAAATGTATTATTATGGATTATTCATAGATATTGGAAGATCTATCCAATGTAAGAGTAAAGATACTCTCTTTTGAAGAAATCTATGGTTTAAAGGAAACTTTATATTGGAATAGCAATTGATCCTCCCTCCGTACAAATTTATTTTTGCTTGAAATACGCATTTGTCTTGCTATTTTATATTGATCTTATTCAGTATTTTCCAACTACTTGAGAAAAGGATACTATAACGCCATCAATATCAAATAAAATATAGTTAACAATAGTCAACTGACCACTGAGGAGATTTGATTAGGACTTTTAAAAAGACCTAGGTATCTTCTTTTTTTTTTGGCTTCTAAAAATTACACACCTGTTTAGAATATAAATAATCATACTTTATATTTTCTTTATTTCCACCCCATATAATAGCATATAACGTAAAAATAGTCTGCAAATTAACCGTCTACGGATAAGGCAGTATTTCGATATTGATATGTTTCGAATAATAATATTCTAAACATAAACAATGATGGTTGAAAATTGATTTAATGCATATCGATTTCCTGTGCATAACTTAACGAACGATATAATTGACAAATGTTTAAATCGGTGATCGAGGAAAGAGACTGTTCCTTGTTGAATTTATTTTTATTCTTACTCGCGATCGGTATTTAAAGAAACTCCAGGTTGATTTTTGTTGTTCAAATATTAACATATAAACTACTGTATGGTAATGACAGAGTGTCCCATTAAAGTCAAAAGGGTGTGAAATGTTAAGAGGAGTATTCAAATTAACTTACAATACTTTTTTAAAGCTCTCCATCCAACGGCAATATTTGTTACGGCACAACAATTCCCTGATTTATCAAGACGACAAATTGAAAATTCGTCAGAGAAACTAGCAACACAACATGTCTACTGTACCAAACACATTACTGTGCACATTAAAACTGATTCCGAATATAGGTCTGTTGTATACTGTGATGGCATTATTGTTTCGCCTCCAGTGACTGTAAACAATACACCTTTAAATTCAAATAATTCTACATGTATGGTTTAGAAAGTAAGTATTGTCATTATAAAAGAAATGGAAACATTAATATTTTCCATTTTAGTTAATATTCGAATGGAGCAGAAGTGTCTAGATAAATAAATGTCAATAATGAGAAGAGATGTAGTATAGAATATACAAGAATGATTTAAATTTCATCTAATCAGAACAAAGTTCATAATTTCATCCAATCAGAACAAAATTCATAATTTCATCCAATCAGAACAAAATTCATAATTTCATCCAATTCAAAAGTCCTAATATGTATCATAATACCAATTATCAAGAACTATCCGCCTTTCCAAATCTAAAATAATGTTATTGGCAACTAGAGTC